CTAGAGTAAAAACTATAGTAGGGATCATTCTACCCAACTTCGGTACTAAAGGGAGGTGAGTGGTTAGCTTCACGCTCCGACCACTTTATCCCAGCACCAGAGTAAAGGAGACCGAATGGGCAATTAGACCGAACATCCTGCCACGCTTGTCGGGCGCTGTGGCACTCTGGATCCTCAAGACACGTGTTTGTTGGTACTGGCTTAATGCGCTGCGTAGCAGATGCTTGGGCGTAACCTCTGCTAATGTACCACTCTCCGCGTCAGAAGATAGCCCTTTGCACAGAAGTAATGGGCAGTGAAAGAGGATAAGAACATGAGAGCGAGAATGCAGACTTGAGACGAGCAACCAAAGACGACGCGCGGAGAGATGCCTTAGCAAGTCGAGACAGTGACAAATGACAGTATATAAGGGCACGAAATAATATCCTTGGGACGAGAAGTCGTACATCCAGTTTTACCCAGTTTAATTTACTTGAACGGAATTACTTTAATACCAAGCTTGACACAGCTTCTTTGTTGTATTGTGCAATATTGCATACGGACGCGGAGTGGTATTAAAAAATAAAGAGCTTTTATTAGCGTCTGGATGAAATTTATGTAGAAAATGCTGCAAAATTTTCCAGTTTGCATAGAAACGCAATTTCATCTCTAGAGAATTTCAAATAAAAACTGCAAAAAAAGAACGGAGCATAAGTTAGGCGATTTCCATAAGTGCACCAAGTGAACGCATAATAAGCAGGTCATGCCTGTTTGTTAGTCCGCGGATCTCATTGTCCGAACCATTCGCTTACTTATAAGTTTGGTACGGGGGCTGCACTCTCATATGCCGCAAACGAATTTCAAACTCGGCTCTATCGTTCAACCGTAACCGTGCTTCTTGACATTTTATACTTCACGGATCATTAAACAGCAGTGAAGTCTCCGAGGATCTATGATCTGTCCCTCACAATATGCAGTACAAGTAACAGTGTGCAGATCTAATCATCACTAAATGCGTGCGTAAAATGAACATAAAATTTTCAAATCCGTAACAGCTCTGTAAAATAGTTTTCATCAATTCGCATTTCATATTTTATAAAAATTCCTCAATAAATAAAGAAAAAATGTATTTACGGATTTCACATAAATACAATTGCAACTAACATGAGAAAGATCCTAGGGAAGACTGAGCCATGTTGCAGGTCATAAAATATTTAGTGTGTCATAAAACACTTCCTTATTCGAAAGGCCAGACAGCCACTGTTCAGTCCCGACACTGAGTCTTTAAACTACAGTAGTAACCAAAAATATTCCCAAGTTTCCACTTAGTTCTTCCATGATTTAGTAATAATTTTATCGTCTTTTTAGTTATAAGAACATTTGTTTAATTTCCTTGAGTCAGCCTGAGTTTTGGATGTTAGAAGTCTCAGTGCTGAGTTTATTTAACAAATTACCATCAAAAGAGCGTGCCGTTTCTCAAACGAAGCCAGCTGGACTATTTAGTTTGACATCTCAATTGTTTCCAGGAATGAAATAAAATCGAACACTGTGGTCGATACTCAGATTGATTTCAATTACCAAGCTCAATGACGAATATAAAGATGTATTTTTTAGCTACGTGTTATAAAACGATGAATTATGAGCGCATATTTAATTATGTTGTCTCTTCAGGTAAAAGCTGGTCTCAACTATTTCCACGTTATTTCAAATTAACTAACATAAATGTCGTATAACCAACATTCAATTGAAAAACAAACTAAATGTCTTTAATTCTTGTCCTTGGGTTTTAGCGCCTGGAGTTGAAATTATAATTTCAGCTTTCGGGGTTGATCTGGCAATTGAAATGTTGGCCAATACGTTGGACAATCCTCAATATTTGATGCGGCTCCACCCCTAAAGTTGAAGTTACACATCTCGTAAAATGAGTGAAAGTATTCCATTTTAAAGCACATTCAGATTGAGGCAATGTATTTCATCCTTCAGAGAAGCTCGCTGTATGTGATTGCAGCTTTCCTTGCCACTTATACATTATGACCTGTTTCAGGTTGCTCATTCTCTCATAATGCCACCTTTTCCCCATTAATCCGTCATTCTCTGAGTCCTTATCTTCTGTCACAGTTCACTAAGCTTTCCTTGATCAAATCTGCCTCAGTTGCTACATTCCTATTACGTCTGCTCTTTCTCCAAACGTTTTACGTTATCGCGTTTACAAGAAGCGAGACTTTGCAGAAATTAAATTAATTAATTTCTTGTCTTTTATCACTAAAACATAAGCCGGTTTATTCGATATTGCGTACGTTCATATCCCGCCTGCGTCACCTCGCTTCATTTGGTAGCTCCTCGTATTTGATGGATTACAAATTATGAAGCTCTTGACCATACATTCACGCAATATTCACCATCCTCCATTTGTTTACTCTTTCTTAGGTTAAAATATTCTCCTCAGAACTCTTAACCTTGCGAAAGGCGATTAAAAAGTACCAAATTTGCTACATATGAAACTAAGATGCCAAAATTACTGTCTATGGGCCTCGTTAGTACCTCAGCGTTCCAATTAAACATAAATTAATTACGTTTATGCTGATTCCATCTTCAGGATTTGAGAAGCTTGTTTCTCCGGAACATTGGTATCTACATGCAGTCCATGGCATTACAACGCAGAAGATGAACATCGGCAAAAATTAATTTGCATTTTGACATTCGCAAATCTTGCAGCATAGTGTGAGAAGTAAAACTGTACAAACCAATAACATTTCGTAGTTCATTACTAACATTTACATAAGTCAACCTCATGTCTGCTCGTGTTTACAGTGGTTTGTCTGTTCACATCACTATGTTATGCCTCGGACAAAGCACGCAGTCAGTAAAAAATCTTGAAACACAAACGGTAACAACTTCATTTCTCTATTTGTGTACAGTATATTACATATATCTGATTGAACTACGAGCTATCTGCATCTGTCTATATATTTATGCGGCTGGAACAATACATCATTTGAAAGCGAATGAATTGGCATATAGGTAGCCCAGAGCGCTGTAAAACAGTTTCCTTTGTTGATAAATGAACATGGCCGGAAGATCCAACACCATGAAGTGGAAACAAAAACTCCATTATGACAATAATCAATATAAAATCCATTAAGAGAATTGGTCACTGTCCCGGAAAAAAGTTCGTCAAAATCAATCAACAGAAAATTTCTACTTTATTAAAGTACAACAGAAAGATAATGCGTTAGCCTCCGTAGTCTTGAAAGTGAATGATTCTGAGTTACAGCGGTAAACGTTCTTGGCGCTTTTAATACTAACTACGAGATATCTCGTCCACAAACACTGTTTTCTATCCACCCCTTTGCTCCACAACTTATTTCCTAAGACCCATCTTAATACTATAGTCTCATCAGTTGAGTCTACCTAATTTAGTATAATTGGATCAGTTGGTTCAAATATTTAAAGGGAGAACAGACGCTAACTGCATAAGGAATGAACCTGTTTGATATCAGTAACAAGAGATGTACGACGTACATGCCACAAACTAATCAAATTTAATAATACGACAGGTATAATTTCAAAGAAATAAGCATCGTGTACAATATTGCCAAGAAAATAGTATCCTAAGAGAGTTTTTAATTACGATCTGCGAGGAAAAAGGAATGTTAGAAGACCAAAAAATTGGGCTCAGTAAACATGATAACTGGTAGGGAAAAGGCCAGTAAGCGTGATCCTGTAAGTTCATAATGATAATAGACCCCATATTCAAAATAACAAAATCATAATATAAATAAGGTAACAATAAACAATATAAGATGTGAGATACTCCGGGTGTAGATTAAGTCGATGTCGTTCTTATGGGCGTCACAAGCCACAAGACCAGCGTCGACAATCTGCACCATGTACCGCCTAAGGAAGACACTATCTCCATAAAAAAATAACACAAAAACGCGTGTCCCTGTACAGCTTTGCGTGTTAACTGTTCGAGGTCACAGTCATAACCTTTTAAATAATTTAATAAATTACGTAATTTAACATTAACAGTAAACAAAGAGACCCAAGCTACTACACTGAACATCTCAAAGTCCACGGTTGCACCATCAGAAGTTTAAATTTGTTGTCTTTTGCTTAAAGCTTTCTGTTAAAAATTCACCTCACAAGCTTAATAACAGAAATGGCTAATTAATCTATTTGCGGAAGGAACTTACCAAAATTCTTTTCATTTATTGAACTGCTAATTAAATAAATTTAAAATGTCATTGTTGGTTTTGTGGGCTGTAACGCTCTCTGGACTAATATTTTATGTAGATCCATACAAACGTGGGGAAATTTATAGGCGTTTTCATGGGTAGCCATCCAAATAAGTCCTGTAAAGGCTGACTGTTAATCGTCTTCGAATTTGTTGTTATCCATTCCCGCACAACAACAGTCATTATTCCTTGCTTGATTATAATTATTAAAATTATTTATTTCTTCTTTCCTTTCTTTCTCTTTTTTCTACACCCTATGCCTTATTCAACAGCTTTATTCCTAAACGGTAGCTTACTCCATTACAATTTGTTACGAAGGCTGTATACAATAAAACCAGCAACTGGCTCTTAGTCGGTTAATGCACAGCATACATTGCGTTGTATTTCCATGCCAAGCGCTTGGAAGAAGACAGACACAAGAGACTTTAATACGTTGTGCGGGACTGCATAACAAACAAATTCTGAGACAATAAACATCCACTCCGTACATGTTCAATTTAAAAAAAATGGGAAACTTGTTATATAAGATTTAATGTCGAGGGAATGAAGGCATGTATTTGTAAAAACCAAGTCTTAAACAAATTTCCCCTCAAAGTGCGACATATTTTTGCTTCCTACGAGTTATCACAACGATAGTGTGGCGTGCAATATATAACGTCTTACAGCATTAACGGCGCCCTTATGAAATTAACGGTCATATTATGTTTCCACACCCACCCTCTCCCCCTGCAGATTGGATCTCCCGCTAAACACGGAGCCGCGTGGTTTTGTCGCGCAGTTGTTCAGACGTAGAGCGACAGCGGGAAGGTCTACACACAAGGCGCACAGCCTCTCCATCTTGGTAACTAAAAGTGGAAACATTTTAGGAAATCGTCACGGGACATAACACACACCTGTTACAGTGTAACGGATGATCAACATCTACAGTGTATCCTGCGACTGCTATAACAGACAGCAAAGTTCAACTGGCCACTTCGTATCTTACACAACATGCAATTGCAGGTCAGTCTCGATTAAAGTCGAAGTTATGAAAAGTAACTAAGGAACAAATTAGAGGCATATTAGCAAAGCTTCACAATATTCTCGTGAACAACATATATAACCTTCATTAAAGATAATTATCATATATATTAAACAAATGCAAGTCATCTCAATTAATATATGCTGCAAATAACATGACTGTGAAAAATAATTTAACGTCTCGTTGGTTCTAAAATAATGAGAAAATAAACAGATTTATATTCTCGTCCGATCAGCTTTGATGTCCGCCAAAATCACGTGCGAGTCGTTTAGAACGCTTAATCTTGTGAAATGTTCTATATAAGTCAGAACGTAATTGTTATTTGATTTGTTTTCATTACATATTTAAGCAGAAGAAGGAGTTTAATGAAATGCCTTCGTTACCTTCAATTTCCTCCGAACAAAAATAGGACTGTTATTTTGTTTCCAGCGATATAATGATAGGGAGATAATTTATCGTAAATACCACTGCTAATAAAAAGAGCGAAATGTGGAAATATGCAAAGGAAATTTGAGACCTGTGCAAGAAGCTCCGTGTATGACCAGGGCAGGCTGTGTGGGAAGTATGTGCGTTGACCGTAACACAAATGACTCGTCTTTTAAGTAATCGTATTTTACGCAGCAGCGGGAACTCTGAATCCCAGACGTTCATTTAATTAAACTTACTTTCGTGTCCACTAACTTTTGTAGTATTTAGGGTTTAAACAGGAACTACGTTTTCATTTTGTTCACAACGTAATTCTATGTAAAAAGATCAATATTAAACTATGTTAAAAATAGACTCTTACTTTTCATAAACTAATTCCCGGATCCATAAAACAAACAAAACATCATGTAATTAATGAGAGTTATAACTGTAAGTTACAGAAACCAGAAAACAGAGATACATTTCGCCACATGTTATGAGCTTACCTACGTTGTAATATAAATGTCAGTCAAAGATAACTTCTGTTTAGCTTCATTACGTGACATGTTTGGTAATTAGTTCATTTATTTATTGAATTGAATTCTCTGTATGGAATGGTTCTAAAGAAAAACATGAATTATTAATTATAAACACACATGCATAAAGTGGTGACTGTGTGATATCGTGATACATTTATTTTATACTACACTAAACTTACGAAAATAAACATTTATAAGGATATCAATCTTAATTTATCACGTGTTATAAATATTTTCAATAAAAAAATTAGATATATGTTTATCTTTGGTCAGCGAATTCGCATGATATATGACATTTTAGTTTAAAAAGCTACTATGAAAATGTTAAAATTTAGTGTAACTTACTGCTTACTCAAACATTTTAAATCACAAACTGCAAAAATTTATAGTCTAGCATATTTGTCCTCAGTCCTGACTAAGAATAAATTCCAATTCATGAGCAGCAATTTTATGCTAAATAACAGGCATAGATATAGAAAAACGTAAGCATTCTATAATCATTAGCATTTGTTCACATTCAAGATACAACACATAGGCCTACAAGATGGATTAGGAAAGAACCGCACATATTATTCCCGATATCACAATACTGTCTTTGAGTCTTAAAATTATTTTCCATTGTTTTCTTGGATCTCAATAAGAGAACAGAAAGTAATGACACAACCAGACTGATCACATTCGAACAATTACAGCTGAAAGATGTGTAAAAAATGTTGTACAAACCATAAGAGAACAGAAATTTAGTAATAAATGTACAAACATATTTTAAAAATCTGAACAGGAGCAGATAAAGACAAGTAATTCGTGACGCTGAGAAAGAAGAATGGTGTATCTCAAAATACAGTGATAATTCATTGTTAGACTAGTGTTTTCACCTAATTCTATTCATAACTATAAATTATATAATTTAATTCAAGAAGCTCATCTACTTTAGAGTAATATTCTTTTAGGCTGCGACGCCGGAAGAATTCGTCACCTTCAACTAACACGTTTTGATTTTCTGTAGAAAAAATTTGTATATAAGTAATAAGTTATTCCCTAAAACGTTATAATAGTACACCCAAATGATAGTAAGACATGTTTATAATTACATACAATAACAAACAGAATTTGATTCGAGTATTATTTAATCCAATGGTCGTCTGCACAAGAACCTGTGCCGCTCACTAATGAGGTACATTGCATTTCTTTTATAGATTATAAACTTACGTTACTAAGCACCGTTAATGAAGGCGGAAAAGTTAGGACTAACAATCTGTGAAAACGGCAAGTCGTATGTTATGTGACTTCTACACGGACTCTGTCTCCCTATCATTAAACCAGTTAATAGACCGTCCATTGTGTAATTCTTTTGTACTTGTCAAGTGGATTTTGCCCCAGCGCTACTCAAATTAGCACCCCCGACCCTTCAACATACACGCATAAACAGGGCTACTATGACTTCTGTAATTTAGTTCTACAGCTGGGAAATCAGATAAATCAAATTATGTTTCCTGTTAAAAGAAGGCAGATTTAAATCACAAGTAACAACTTAATTGTACAATGTAAAATGCTTAAGAATGCATTATAACAATTTATCTTACAGAAAAATCTGTTAAAATAAATTAAATTTCCATATTACCGCAACAAAGTTTGAGATTCTAAAGAATGTGGAATAGGGTAGATGTTTGTCAGTTATGTATGATGACCGTAGGATGAGCTGCCACTAACTCTGTTAGCAAACGTGACAAATTAGTTTGCAAAACGCAGTGACAGGAGGGTAAAATGTTTATCGTTAATTCCAATGTATGAGACGCATATTTATTTTTTGCAATAATATCAGCATTTGATAAATATTACAGAAAGTGTTCCTAATTTAAACCTAAACACAGAAAGCATGAAGTATTTCTAAGACCTTCTGGAAAGTTTCTTTTGCAATTGTACTAAGAAGAAGTGATGGATCGGGTTTAAGAAGTTCGTTCACTAGTTGAACACGTTCCATAAAATGTAAGAAAGCAGTAGGTCTATGCAAATGAGCTCATGTAAGTATACATGATCACTGCAACTGATGTGAAAGATAAATTTAAGTTAAATGAATTAGAATGATCTGTTGTCTATTAAAACAATTATAATTATTTCTAGTGTGCAAGAGTCGCCTTTAAAGTCGCAACGTCATCACATCACATATTACATGTTGTAAATAGTTTTCTTTAACAAAACGACGCAATTAGTTTGAATTACAAAACAAAAAGCAAGAACAGATTTAGGCATATATTATGGCATTAATAAAATGCTAAATTTATTTATCACAGAAGTGGCTGGTGGTTAACCAGTTTCCCGGATTCCTTGAAAAACTTATAGTCCATCAGCTAGTAAAAAAGTTTAGGTAAATTCTAGGATATTTTAGAGTACCAAGAACTCTTACTTTCATAACTTCACAATCAATAATTCATTACGTAACTCATTATTTGACGTTATATAATTTGAACCACTAACAGCGTCGTTAAATAAATCATAAATAAATTAGCAATCCCTTTCCATTGTCGTAGAGAAAAAGGATTTTCGCGCTTTCTGGTCCACATTTCAGAAAGTCTCCATTCGGTTAACGACAAGAACCACTGCTGATTATGCTGAGTACTGGGCCCAAATATTTTTACAAACCTGGGTTAGCTCGTACCATGAGACAGATAATACGTAAATCAAAAGCTTGTCTATTCTGCTGCAAACAGAAGCGATTATCCAGACATAGTTTTATAAAATACAACATACCTTCATTATTTTCTTTAATAGTGCAACAGACAGGTTGAGAACAACTGTTCTGGGTGGATGTATGATTAATGTCGTGTCTTGTATTTGCATTTTGCTGTTCCCAAATAATTAATCTAAATCCTGCTAAAATAACTTTGTATCAACTTTATGTTTATGGTCATCAGAATACTATTATGATCACTGTTTCAGTTTTGGCTTGAAACCCGCCCGAGGGTTTAGAGTTTGTTTCTACTGTCTACTTCTCTGTTCTGTATCGTATTTCCTTCTTTTATGATATCAAAATTTAATTTCATCAGATGCATGTTTTCACAGTCCTCATATATTTACCTCTTTAACATTTACAGAAAATTCAGCAGATGTTATTTATTTGTAGCTCAGCAAGAAGGTCTTAAGTCATATTTAATTTGTGTTAACTTAAGACCTTCTCAACGAACACCATAGATACGCTGCAGTGAAAAATATTTATTAATTACGAATTTAGTTCAAAATTCTAGGACGAATAAAACCACAAAAGGAGAAACTTCACAATTCACAAGCTACTTCTGTTACTATTATGGTCTATAATAAAGGGCATTCCGTTGGCGAAACACGTATGACTACTGTAAGAACTGAATGGTCATTTATTTAACGACGACTGCTTTGT